TAAGTCAAGCTCATGTGGCGGTGGTGGGCTTGGGTGGGGTCGGGTCTTGGACGGTTGAAAGTTTGGCGCGGATGGGGGTGGGACATTTAACCTTAGTTGATTTTGATGTGGTGGCCCCCAGTAATGTGAATCGTCAAATTCAAGCGACAACGGATAATTTTGGCAAAGGTAAAGGGTTGGCTTTACGTGAGCGGATTGTGCAGATTAACCCAGATTGCCGTGTGACATGGATTGATGATTTTATTTTGCCAGATAACATTGCAAATTATTTTGATTCAATCGCTTTAGAGGGTTTGATCGATGCGACCGATCAAGTGCATGCTAAGGCGGCAATGGTTGTGTGGGCAAAAAATAACGGTGTGCCGATCGTGACCTGTGGAGCCGCAGGGGGTAAAAAAGACCCCTTTTTGCTAAGGCATGCCGATTTGTCAGAAGTTAGCCACGATCGGTTGCTTGCCAAATTACGTTACCAGTTACGTAAATCACATGGTTTTGCCAAGGTTGCCAGCAAGGGGGCGAGCCGTAAACAGCAGGCCGCCAGTTTGTTTGGCGTGTCGGCAGTTTTTTCAGCTGAGCATGGATATGCAGCAAAAGACCAAGAAACCGGTGGTTTGCAATGCGCAGGATACGGATCGTCCGTTTGTGTGACGGCTAGTATGGGGTTGATGGCAAGTTATCTCATTGTTCAAAAAATCACCGCCTAAAAAGGCCAGCAAATAACGGATCAGACGGGTCAGGAAAATAATCGTAAAAATTGATGAGTGCACAAAATCAAACTTATTTAAAATCAACGTTGTATATTGTTTCTACGCCGATTGGAAACTTGTCGGACATCACGGCAAGGGCACAATTTGTCCTGTCTATGGTGGATGCTATCGCTTGTGAAGATACGCGGCAAACACAAAATTTATTGCGCGGTTTAGGTTTTTTAAGTCATCCGCCACTGATGAGTATACATGCGCATAATGAAGCCCAAGAAGCCAAGAGCATTGTTGCTCGTTTGGAGCAAGGGCAGCGAATAGCTTATGTTTCTGACGCGGGCACACCAGGGATTTCTGATCCTTGTGCTTTGTTAGTCGAAGCAGTGATTGCTGCGGGCTTGCGCGTTGTTCCGATTCCCGGTGTCAGTGCTTTGACGACAGTCCTGTCGTGTGCAGGGAAAATGGCTTATCATCATGTTTTTGTTGGATTTTTATCGAGCAAGGGTAGCCGTAGTCGAGCCCAGCTTATGCAATTGGTTCATTTGCCCTTTGCCAGTGTCATTTATGAGGCCCCACATAGAATTCAATCCTTGTTAGAGGCGATATGTCGCATTTACCCACCTGAGCGGAAAATTGTGATTGGTCGAGAGTTGACCAAACAATACGAGACGCTTTACCACTTAAAAGTAGCTCAGTTAGCTGATTTGATCCCGCAACTGCCGCAACGCGGCGAATTT